TGGTCCTGTTAGCAGCTGGGTCCTATTAGCAGTGTGGTCCTGTTAGCAGAGTGGTTCTGTTAGCAGTGTGGTTCACTTAGCAGTGAGGTTCTCTTAGCAATGTGGTCCTGTTAGCATCCGGGTCCTATTAGCAGCATGGTCCTGTTAGCAGCTGGGTACTATTAGCAGAGTGGTCCTGGTAGCAGAATGGTTCTATTAGCAGTGAGGTTCTCTTAGCAGCATGATCCTGTTAGCACCTGGGTCCAATTAGCAGAATGGTCCTGTTAGCAGAGTGGTTCTGTCAGCAGGGAGGTTCTCTTAGCAGCATGGTGCTGTTAAAAGCTCAGTACTATTAGCAGAATGGTTCTGATAGCAGTGAAGTTCTCTTAGCAGCATGGTCCTGTTAGCAACCAGGTCCTATTAGCAGCATGGTCTTGTTAGCAGCTGGGTCCTATTAGCAGTGAGGTTCTATTAGCAGCATGATTCTGTTAGCAGCTGGGTACTATTAGTAGAATGATTCTGTTAGCAGTGTGGTAGCCTGCTGCTAGCATTGTGGTCCTGTTAGCAGCACGATGATAATAATGACCATGGCAACAGACAATGACTGCCCCCCCAGAACCGGGTCCGGCAGACAGAGACCATCCAAGGTTTCCCTGCGGAACCGAACAGTTTTGTAGAGTTCGGTCCGTGCAGGCAGAGGGAGGATCATGGAGACAGCTGCCATGACAGGCCAGAGCCTGAGCCCGAGGCTGGAAAGGGACCAGAGAGATCTAAGTTTAGCCTTCTGGGAACCAGTTTCCTGTAAAACGTTCTGAATCAAAAACTCTTCGGGTTACTGGGAGGCTTCAAAGGTTTTTCCTTGTCAGTCCCGCCTGCGTTCCTCAGCAGAGAAAGTTCACTGATTCATTTTAGAACATGCAGCTGGACTGCAGCGGGTCAGGATCATCCACGCACGGTGCTGGAACCCGACATAAACAAGAATAAAACATTTTTCTCATCCTTCTGCCATCTCGATGTTAACAACACTGCAGCTTCGTTTTATAGAACCAGATTTGATGATTCTACGGGTCGTGGACTCAGAAATAAGCGGTTCTTTTCAGAAGGCGGCACCACGGCTCACTGCGGACAGATCCTCAGCCCGAGATTCTTCTTTCTCTCTCAGTGTTCAGCCTTTAACAGCAGAGTTTAGCTCAGATTAAGGGCTGAAATGTGATCTTTACTCACTTCAGTACCAGAAGTCTGATACAAAAACACCATTTCTTCCATTTTTAATTTAAATTTGGCTGAACTCGTGAAAAGATGTGAAAAGAAGAAAAGAACTGTTCTTCCATCAGAACAGACACCTTTAATGTGAACGTTTTTCTGTTTTAATCTGTAATCTGTTATTGTTAATCTGATTATGATTCGATATTATCCAGACTGACAGCAGTGAAATTGAAGCTGACAGGAGGGTTTTGTTGCTCCTTCGTTCCGTTTCCTCTCCAGAACTTCTCCCGGTGTTCCTCCTGTCTGTCGGGCCCTCAGTTCTCCCCTCTCTTCCTCCTTCCAGTGAGCAGTTATGGTGATGAAGACGATGATGTCACCAGCTCCTCCGACAGCGAAGACCAGGTCCTGAAGCAGTTCGAGATCTCCGTGTCCCGCTCGCAGAGTTTCCGCTCCGCGGCCGCCTACGCTGGTGTGGAGGTTTCCCACAAAGCTCAGCTGCAGCTGGGACGGCGCCACAAGTTCGCCCGCCTGTCAGACCAGGAGGAGGGCAGCACCGAACCCTCGGACTGTGAAGGTACCCCAGACTAAAGTAACTTGAATCTCTTACCTGGGGCCCATTTGCACCTGAGACTTGTGACCACGGTGAAAGCAACAGTTAATGAGTTGGACCTGTCAGGCTCAGAGGTCCAATCAGAACCACAAACATCCAGTTGCTAAAGTTCTGCTGCTTCCTTCCTGCAGAGATGGAGGCTCCGGACCGGCAGGTGTTCCTGGACCCACTCTGTGTTCTGGAGGAGAAGACTGTGAGGACGTCCACGCTGTCTCTGGACAAACCTTCAGACATCCCAGCGTCCAGAACCGGGGACAGTCCCAGCCTGAGCCGGCAGGCCGCGGACGGCAGCGAGGGTGCAGAGGACTCTTTGGACCAGAACCAGGACGGTGCTGCAGACGGCTCAGAGGTACCACAGCCCGACGTCGACTCACTGTCAGTCTGAAGCTCCTTTAGTTGCTCCGGGCTTTCACAGAACTTTTCCTCGTCTGGGTTTATGTTTGATGTGCTCACAGAACCGGGTTCTGGGCCGTGCACGTGGTTTTGTTGTCGTGCGCGTTGTTTTGTTGCCACAGAGTTACTGAAGGTGAACTGAGATGGTGAAAAGTTCTGATCAGCACCGAGTGAAGGTCCACAGACCCGTCTGAGGAAACGTAGAACTTCAAGAACGTTGGGGAAACATTCTGGAAACTCCCTCATGTTCCCAGTTTGACGCGAACAGCCGAGACCCAGAACCAGTGAACCGGACCCAGACGGGTCGCTCTAAACCCGACTGTCAGGATTTATCTGTTTCACTTCCTGACTGGAAAAAAGATGAAAACAGAATTTACACACGAGTGTGTAAACACTGTGTAACACACACACACACATGCAACACACACACACTAAAACACACACTAACACACACACTAACACACACACTAACACACACTCTAACACACACACTAACACACAATCTAACACACACACACTAACACACACTCTAACACACACACTAACACACACTCTAACACACACACTAACACACACACAAACACACACACACTAACACACACTCTAACACACACACAGGCCTCATGAGGACCACGAGGCGGGTTCAGGTGAAAACTTGTCTCAGCTCAGCTTCGGGTAAAGCAGCCTGCAGAGGTCAAAGTTCAAGCCCCGCCTCCTACATGTTAACTGATGGGACTTTATCCTGACTAAAGTAAATGATTATTTAAAATATTATATAAGAATGAGTCTCGTAGCTCTTACTTTGTTGCTGTCTCTTTAAACAGATTTTATTTTTAATCAATTCAATTTAACGAGTTCTTTAGGCCTTACAGTCTGTGATTGACAGCTCAGTTAGCCAGTTGTGAGGGCGGGTGGAAAGGCGGGGCTATTTGAGGGTTCCGCCCACATCCTGATTGTCCAGCAGTATGGTGGCTCCCAAAGAAAACAGATGTTTTAGCTTCAGTTCTGAACAACAGATGGAGGAGGAGGAGGAGAGGCGTCGACCATCTTTAAAGTTGATGGTTCAGAGAAGCCCTGAGAACATGGCGGTCCAGGTGGCGGGTGATATGCATTCCTTCAATGCTGCTTCCACATCCTGATGAAGTGTATTCACTTGTGTTGCAGCTGAAAGCAGCTGTCCTCGATGACGTCGCCTCTCAGCCTCGAACCCCCATTTCTAAATGTGGGGACCTGGACCTGTCTCTGGAGTACCGGCCCGACTCGGAGAGGCTGCTGGTCACGGTGATCGCCGCTCGGAACATTCCCGACAAGGCTCGCAGCGGCATGGACTCCTGGCAGGTGCACACGGTCCTGCTGCCGTCCAAGAAGCAACGCCACAAGACATCGGTGCAGAGAGGCTCGGAGCCGCGCTTCACCGAGACGGTCCGCTTCTCGCGCCTGGAGCCCTCCGATCTGCAGACGTCCGCCGTCCGGTTCCGGCTGTATGCGCTCGGAGGACGGATGTCCCGTGAGAGGATGATGGGGGAGAAAGTGCTGCGTCTAGCCGGGCTGGACCCAGACGGGGGGACGATGGAGACCACGCTGGTTCTCGAACCTCGCAGCAACCTGAAGGTGGGACCGGCGGACTCAGGTGGACCCTGAGACAAGACTCGTGCACCTGTTTCAATCTGTGTGTGTCTCTGCAGAGTCTGGACTCCCAGCTGAGTTTGTCCGCCGTGTCTCAGAGCGACAGCGCCTCGTCCACTCAGTCCCTGACCCACGGCGGCGTCCCCGAGCTGCTGGTCGGCCTGTCCTACAACGCCACCACGGGACGCATGTCTGTGGAGCTCATCAAAGGAAGCCACTTCAGGAACCTGGCAACCAGCCGGCCTCCAGGTCTGCAGGGGGCGCTCACACCCACAGACACTACACAGAACTCCTCAACCCTCAGAACCGTAGAGTGGACCCGTTCAGTCTGTGGACGGAACCAGTCCATTTGAATCCCCACAGAGACAGCTGTTGTAATGTTTATAGTCCCGAGTCAGTTTAAAACTTTATTCAGATAAAAACACAAACGCAGATTCTTTAGTTTTATTGGAGCTCCAAATATTCCAGCAGTTCATCCGTGCAGCAGCTGGTTTCCTGGGTACCAGACTTGGTTCTGAGGGTTCTCTGGACCCTGTTTAGCCAGAGAAAGACCTGCACCCTCACATTATTTCCATGAAGAAACCTTGAAGTTTCACACGTTTCCTGATCCATTAGTGAACAAGCAGCTGTAGCACCAAACCGACCCGCTCACCTCTTCAGCCCTGAAGTCCTCCGTCCTGCTGCCGCCGCTCTGAACAGACGTTTTATTTAAAGAAACCAAATACTTTGATGGTCCGGAAAACTCACAGAGAGAAACATCAGCTCTTTCAGGACAATCCTTTGGTATTGGTGCAACTTTAGCTTTTTTGAAATATTTAGCCTTTTCTGCCATTTTTTTTTCTCATAGAAAATGAATTGAGCTCATTTTCCATCCTTCAGATCTTTAGATTTGTTTACATTTTACGGCTCCTTTCATATTTTGTTCTGCTTCAGCTTCTTTCAGCTTCCTTGTGCTAATTTAAACTTTTTTCAGCTACTTTCAGCTGCTTTCTGCTCCTTTTAGATTATTTCAGCTAACTACAGCATTTGTGTGCTTCTTCTGATTTATTTCTGCTAATTTCAGCTTGTTATGCTCCTTTCAGCTGATTTCTGCAAGTTTCAATTTTTTTCTACTATTTCAGCTACTATATAACTGTTTTATGCAAATTTAAGCTTTTTAAGCTAATTGCACATTTTTTGCACTCATTTCAACTTTTTTCAACCTAATGCAGCAACTCTCCATTTCCTTCTTGTAATTTTAGCTTTTTTCTGCATTTTTAGCTACTTTTCAGCTTTTTCTTTTAGCTAATTTCAACTTTTTTCAGACAATTTCCACTTTTGTGCTCAGTTTTTTCTTTCAGCCTAAATGGGCAAACGTGTTCTTTCTGGTTTCTTCTGCTAATTTAAGCTTGTTCTACCTTTTCAGCGACATTTTTAGCATTTTTAGCTAATTTCACATGTTGTCTGATAAATTCAAAGTTTTCATGGGAATTTCTGCTACTTTCAGCCTTCTTAACTTCTTCTGCTAATTTAAGCTTGTTCTACCTTTTCAGCTACATTTTTAGCATTTTTAGCTAATTTCAGATGTTGTCTGATAAATTCAAAATTTTCATGGTAATTTCTGCTAATTTCAGCCTAATTAACGTCTTATGTTAATTTCAGCTTGCTATGCTTCTTTCAGCTTTTTTTCCGATAGTTTCAGCTTTTTTGCTTTTTTCAGCTACTATTTAGCTCTTTTGATGCCATTTTTAGCTTTAGCGGGTAATTCCACATGTTTTATATCATTTCAGCTCTTTCCACTTCCTTCTGGTAGTTTAAGCTTTTTTTCTCCCTTTTCAGCTCTTTTTCAGCAATTTTTTTTTCGAATTTCAGCTTTTTTATAGCTAATTTTAAATTTTTCTGCTCATTTCTGCTCATTCAAACCTAATTCAACAAATATGTGTTCTTTCTGTTTTTTTTGCTTGTTCTTCCATTTCTGCTACATTTCAGAATGTTTTTAAGCTAATTTCAGTCCTTTTTCAGCAAGTTTTTCCTGTAATAAGCATTTGCGCTGCATTTTCGCAGGAAATGCAATTTCTCTAGTTATTATTGTGTTCATGAACAAACTCCTCCTCCTCCCTGCAGACACCTACGGGCGGCTGACCCTATTGAACTCCATGGGTCAGGAGGTCTCCCGGTGTAAGACGTCCATGCGCCGCGGCCAGCCCAACCCGGTCTACAAGGAGACCTTTGTGTTCCAGGTGGCACTCTTTCAGCTGTCGGACGTCACTCTGCTGCTCTCCATCTACAACCGCCGCAGCATGAAGCGCAAAGAGATGGTGGGCTGGGTGGCACTGGGTCAGAACAGCAGCGGCGAGGAGGAGCAGCTCCACTGGCAGGACATGAAGGAGGGTCGAGGACAGCAGGTCTGCCGCTGGCACGTCCTGCTGGAGGCGTAACGCCGCTCGCCGGGCCGGACGCCATGTTTTATACAGATGACTCCACCTGCAGCTTGTTCTGCAAGTTAACGAGAGCAGAAAGGACGACTGGGGGGTCGGGTCGGGTTGGGTCCACCTTTAGTGGCTGACACGTTTACATTCATGATGAGCTGAGAGTAAAAACTGATTCAGGTCCTCCTGAGAGACGAGCTGAGGATCGTTTCCTGTCAAACATCTGCTGAGCCTTGTTCAGTCAGACCCTCTTATTATTGTGCACACACTGAGGAACACATGAGGAGCACACACACACTCCGAATGTCAGGGAATCAAACCTCTGACAAACCTGCACTCATCAAACACTAACGCTGATCTGAAAGTTATTTTAGGTTCAAAGGTCACCGTTTCAGTCATAACTATAGAGAAATCACACTTCCTGTGAAGTGCAAATGCTTGTTGCAGACGAACTTACTGAAAAACAGCTGAAATGAGCTAAAATCATACTGAAATGGAAGAACAAGCCTAAGTTAGCAGAAGAAAGCAGAAAGAACACATATTTGCTGTATTAGGATTAAATAAGCAGAAATGAGCATAGAAATTAGGAAAATAAGCTGAAAAATCTGAAATTAACAAAAAATATCTGAAAAGGCAGAAAGAAGCTTAAGCTACTAGAAGGAAGTGGACGAAGCTGAAATTAGCTAAAGAATGTGGATTTAGCTGAAGAAGCTAAATTTAGCACAAATACCACTAAATAGTAGCTGAAATAGCTGAAAAGGCTGAAACTTGCAGAAATATGCTGAAAGGAGCACAACAAGCTGAAATTAGCATAAAGAAGTTGATTAGGCTGAAAGTAGCAGAAATTACCATGAAAATTTTGAATTGATCAGAAAACAGCTCAAATTAGCTACAAAATGCAAGAAGTAGCTGAAAAGGTAGAACAAGCTTCAATTAGCAGAAGAAAGTAGAAAGAACATGTTTGTCTAATTAGGCTGAAAGAAGCAAAAGTTTGCACAAAAAAGTGGGAATTATCTGAAAAAAAGCTGAAATTAGCAACCAAAAAAAACAAAATGCTGAAAAGTAGCTAAAAAGCAAAAAGAAGCTTAAGTTACCAGAAGGACGTAGAGCGAGCATATATTTGCTGAATTAGGCTGAAAAAAGCCCAAACAAGTGCAAAAAAATGTGGAATTAGCTGAACAAGCTAAAATAGTAGCTAAAATAACAGAAAAGGCTGAAACCTGCATAAGTAAGCTGAAAGGAACATCCATCCATTATCTTTTTACCCACTTCTTCCATTTTGGGTCACCGGGGTCGCCGGTGCCCATGTCCAGCAATCACTGTGCGAGGGGCGGGGTACACCCTGGACAGGTCGCAAGTCCATCACAGGGACACATAGAGACAAACGAGACAAACAACCATTCACTCTCACCTAGGGACAATTTAGAGTTGCCCATCAGCCTAACATGCATGTTTTTGGTCTGTGGGAGGAAACCAGAGTACCCGGAGAAAACCCACGCATGCACGGAGAGAACATGCAAACTCCACCCAGAAAGGCCCCCGGACTGGGATTTGAACCAGGGACCTGCTCGCTGAGAGGCAGCAGCTCTACCAGTTGCGGCACCGTGCTGCCTGAAAGGAACATAAGCTGAAATTAGTGGAAAGAAATTAGAAGAAGCACAAAAATTATGTTAGAAAAAGAATCTGAAAATAGCACAAAACAGCTGAAAGTAGCTGGAAAAAAAGTTAAAATTTTTCACAAAGAAGCTAAAACAGAACAAAATGTGAAAGCAGCAGTAAAAGTTTGTAAACAGATCTAAAGATGTGAACGATGTAAAATGAGCTCAATTCATTTTCTATGAGGGGAAAAATAGCAGAACAGGCTAAATATTTCAAAAAGCTAAAGTTGCACCAAAACCAAAAAGCATGAATACTTAATAAGCATTCATACAAATATGGCTGATTTATAATAATTACCATCTTATGGACCGATCTGATGAATATAAGCCGAAGGCAGTGTCTCACAGGTAGTGTCCAAAATGTCTCCAAACGTCCCCCAAACTGTCTCCAAACGTCTCCCAAGCTTCTCACTTTGACCCCAGGATGTTTTCTGTCATGCTGCACTAAATAAATCCATAAAGTTTAAACACAATGAAGTGTCAGAGTTTATAGAAGCTGACAGAAACACACACGTGACTTTAATGCTTGAAAGGTTTTTATTTTATTTTGGTGAGCTATGACAGAGCTAGACTCTTATTTTGAAGGTTTTACTTTCCTGTTTCCACTTAAAGCTTAAAGATTTAATCTAAACCTTAAAGAGGGTTAGATTAAATCCTCCAGAAGTTTAAGGTTCCAGTCAGAACAAATGGATCTGTGTGGGCGGCCATGTTGGATTAACCTGTTGAAGAACCCGTTTCCATGGTGACAGCTCAACAACTTGGAGTAAAATCCTCCATGTTGACCTGTGACTGCGTGCTATAAGAGTTCAGCTGAGTCAGGGTGAGTCCAACATCCAGGACAAGTTCTGAGGTTTACTGAAACGAGACGGTTCTGATTTTAAAGTTCTGGTCCCTGCACAGCTGGATCTGGTCCCTTGCACAGCTGGACGTCTGATACTTTTAAGTAGGACATCTTCATTGTTGATACAAATGTACCAGGCATGCAGGCATGGTGTAGACACATCTGCATGCTCTGATGAAGTGTTCAGGTTGTCCTACAGATGTTGTCCTGCAGATGTTGTCCTGTAGACAATGTCCTACAGATGATGTCCTGCACATGTTGTCCTGCACATGTTGTCCTGCAGCCATTGTCCTACAGATGATGTCCTGCACATGTTGTCCTGCACATGTCCTACAGATGATGTCCTGCAGTCATTGTCCTACAGATGATGTCATGCAGATGTTATCCTCCATAGGTTGTCCTGCAGATGAGGTTCCTGGGACACCTTGAGATGAGACATGTCTCCCACAGCTGAGAGCACACAGACCTGCATGAGACCTTGTTGTGAATGCTGCTGCATGTGTGGAAGGATTATTGGTCCAGGGCTGACCTGAGACCTGGTTCTGTTCCATATCAGGTCTCCTAAATCCCAGCCCCGGTTTGAAAACCAACAGTTCTGGGTTAAGAGTCTCAAATAATGAGAGTCTCTGGAGGAATGCCTGTCGCCCGTCGCCCTGCATGTTGAAGTTAAAGCAGAGAAGAGGCCTGACCTGTTGGAGCTCTGAGGGCGTGTTGGGACGACTCTCAGCTACTACAACACCTGCTCTCCCTGGTCCGCTCTCCCTGGTCTGCGCTCTGCATGCTGACCACCTGCAGCTCAGTTAAAGCACCTTTTTGTACCAAAGTCTTGTTGTCAATAAAGTTTGCTGCTGTTTCCTCGGAGTCGTCCTTCCTGAGCCGATCGGCTTCATTTCAAACATTTCAGCTCGTTTTTAAGAATTAAAAATATAAACATTTTGACCCAAAACATCCTGATTGGTTTTGACAGAGCACAGCTGAATTTGTATCAACACTTTGAATTTCTCCGCACATATACGTACAGTAGCTTTGAGTTCATAAACCGTCAGATTAACACTGAGATCATTTGATGGAGTTTTACTTTAAACACATTTTAATGTTCTGTTCATCTTAAAACAATTCATCTTCATCTTTCACAATTCTTTAATTTTATAAATTATGTTTCTAAAGTGAGACTTTTCTCAAATCCATCCATTCTTCCATCCATTCATCATTCAACCATCCATTCATCATCTATCCTTCATTCATCCATCCATCCTTCCATCCATTCATCATTCAACCATCCATTCATCATCTATCCTTCATTCATCCATCCAGCCATAATCCATCATTCATTATTCGTACATTCATCCATTCATTCATTATCCATCCATCATCATCCATCCATCACCATAATCCATCCATCATTCAACCATCCATCATAAAACACTCACTGTAAGAGAGGCGTGGGACACCTGGACAGGTCTTCAGTCTGTCACAGGGTCACACAGACAAATTAGACGAACCATTTCATTCTCTTTATTCATTAGATCCTAAAAATACTCCTTTCATTATCCCATCATTGTCTCATCACTTGTTAGTTGTCATTACCATTCCTATCTTTAACAAGCCTAACCTGTTGCACATCCTTTCTAGCCTGATCACCCTGTTTCACCAATCAGTACGAACCTTGCTTGCCCTCTTTAGTGTCCAGTCTCCCATACAACTCATCGTACGTCTTCTGCTTTGCCTTTAGCTACCTCTCTCTTTGCTCTATGTTGCATCTCCTTAAGTTCCCATCTCCTTTCTTCAGTCCTCTCACTGTCATATTTCTTCTTGGTTAACCTCTTTCTCTGAATAACTTCCTGCACTTCACTATTCCACCACCAGGTTTCTCTATCCATTCTCTGTCCAGATGACACACCAAGTACCTTCCTATGTCTCTATAATTACAGTAGTCCAGTCATCTGGAAGCTCTTTCTTACCACCCAGAGCCTTTAACAGCTCCTCTCTGAATTTCTCACAACATTCTTCCTTCTTCATCTCCCACCATTTGGTCTTCTTCTCTGATTTCACTATTTTTCTCTTCTTCATAACAACAGTAATTCTACACAACCATCCAATGCTGTCTGGACACCCTCTCCCCTGCCACAACCTTACAGTCTCCAATCTCCCTCAGGTTTCACTGTCTACACAGAATCTAGTCTACCTGTGTACTCCTTCCTCCACTCTTATAGGTCACTCTATGTGCCTTCCTCTTTTGGAAATTCGTGTTGACTACAGCCATCCATTCTCTTGGCAGAATCCACCACCATCTGTCATTCCTGGTTTCTTTCCTTGACACCAAACCTACCATCACTTCCTCATCCCCTCTGTTTCCTTCACCAACATGTCCATTCAGGTCTACTCCGATCACCACTCTCTCCTCCCTGGGGATACTCTATCACTTTACTCTTTTCACCTCTACTACATTCTTTACCAACTCCTCCTTCAGAACCACCCCTACTCCATTTCTCTTTCTATCCACACCATGGTAAAACAGTTTGAACCCTCCTCCAATGCTGCGAGCCTTGCTGTCTTACTTGGTCTCTTGGGCACATAAAACATTTACCTTCCTTCTCAGCATCATGTCAGCCAGCTCTCTACCTTTGCCTGTCATTGTCCCCACATTTAGAGTTGCAACTCTCAGTCCTACATTCTTGACTTTCCTCTTCTCCCTCTGTCACCTGACACATTTCCCTCCTCATGGTCTTCAACTAATAGTAGCGCCATTTGTCAACAGCACCAGTGTTGCTTGTTGTTAACCTGGGCCTCGACCAATCTGATATGTTGTTGCTTAGATTACACATATTGCATATTAGTTTTGACAGAATTGTTTAATGTCAGATGCCCTTCCTATGGCTATGGCTGAGGGCAGGGATGGAGAGGCAGAAGGTTTTCTGCTTTACCCTGACCCTGCGTCCAATGTTCTATTTGAAACTTTTACCAAACTTCCACAACAATCTGAGCCAGGACTGAATGAAGTATAACTGCACTCACACATGCTTTAGGATAAATCTGCAATACCACATTAAGCACTAACTTTGAGTTCACTTTTAATTTATTTTTTTCTGGACCTCATCTTAAAGTATACACATTTATTAGATACTTAAGCCATAACAGTAAACTTTTTATATCAGCTGGGTACAGAAGTATTCATGGATTAATAGATTTTGACATAAATTAACGCCATAGTGTTAAAAACACAAATAAAGGCTCTGGTCTTTTTAACTACTGAGTCTTTTCTAGTATGAACTTTTTTTTAAAATTATATTTATATATTTCCATTTGGTGTCAAAATGCTGCTGTGAATAAAAGAGGCCAACAGTTTGGGGAAACTCAGCAGACACAGTCTCCAACATGGAATCAGGTGTTTCAGTTAAACCACGGGCAAGAAACACAGAACATCCAAAAGGTTTGTTTGGTCGGCTCATGGTGCAGGAACAGAGCAATTTCCTTTGTGGAAGAGGAAAAAGAAAGTTTGTGCAACATTTAGAGGATAAAAAGGGATGCGTTTAGGCATATTTTGGTTACATCAGTCTTAATTAGAATAAACACACACAAATGTAAATTACATACTAAAAGTTAAAAATTAATATGGATATAAAAATGATGATGAATGTTATGGTGTTTAATGTCATCAGATCAAATAAAATGTACTAAATACAAACTTGCTGCCAATGTTGTGCCTCCTCCTGGCCACTGGATGTCTGGCAAGATCCAGGAAGAACATTAAAGACAATAACTTCTTGTTCCAACGAATGTGATAACAGAAGTAAAACACTTTTTGAAATGTTTTTTAATAGTCAGAGCAGAAACTTAGAGTGGTGTTTAAGAATTTGCAAGGTATGCAAATGTTAAAACTTGACACGCTTAATCCAAAAAAAGTTAAAAACAAAACAACTGGACTTCATTTGTAACCGAAGACGTTTCGCTTTTCATCCGAGGAGCTTTTTCAGTTCAATGAAACAAGGATTGTGGGATTCAAGTTATAATGCTGTGGTGTTCTGTATGCTTGCATAATGCAGATTGACACATGCAGATTGACCTCTCACTCTCCACCATAGAAGAATCTCCATTATTCAAGCTTATAGAACACCACAGCTTTATAACTTGAACTCCACACTCCTTGTTTCATTGAACTGAGAAACCCCTTGGATGAGAAGCGAAACGTCTTCAGTTACAAATAAAGTCGAGTTGTTTTGTTTTTAACTTTTTTTTGGATTAACCATGTCCTGAATGACTGAGAATCATCACCAGCGTAATGACATGCTTACAATAAAATCTATGAGTTGTTTAAATTGGTATAAAATGAGGCAAAATATTGAAAAGGAGCTCCTGCTCCTTCTATTGAGGTGGTTCCCTCACAAGAAGTCAAATTTACACAACAACCTACGTCAACATTTACCTTATTCCTTCAAGCAGAACCAAACTATACATTTTTAATCCCTATTTATAACACGATCCCCTGTTAGTTGAACAGAGCCAGTTTGTCCAAATATGTGTGAATTTTGCATTTCACCAGACCATAATATGTCTTCAGCAGAGAGCATTGTCCACCTTTCTGCTCCAGATCTTTCCAGACTCTTTCTAACTCATGGCTCTCCATTCCTGCTGAGCTGAACAGATGCCGGTAGCAGCAAACGTTGTAGTGGATGTGTCTCTCGCCGGAGAACCTGGCACTGTGCGTCGGTGCAACACCTGCTTTCTGAGCGCAGAGACCAACAAAAACATCGATAGGCACGGGTGCCAGGACTGCCGCAGACGCCACATACACTTTTCGGACCACATCCTGCGACAGAACGTAGGCAACTCCATCACAGTATTCAGGAAGGAACTTGTTTGGGTAGAGAGCGGGAGGCAGGAAGCTGGGACTGTTGGGGTTCCTGTCAGGAGAGTCTTTCTGGATCACCTTACCCAGATACAGATCTTCAGGGTGCCTGTGAAGACCCAACAGGTAACTCCCAATTGCAGGCAGGTTGACAAACACAGACTCTTTAGTCATCAGAACAAAGCGTGCAAGAGGACAAAAGGCAATAATCCAACGAAGAGCCAACAGTGTCCTCTCTTTTAGACCATGAGTTGATTCATCCGCCAGGATTATGTCTCCATAACGTTCATACTCCCCCATGAGGTCGTCTTGTGTATCAGAGGTCTGAATCGATCCCAGAAAGAACAGCGTCTTTGCTGGAAAGCCTCGGATTAGTGTTTGGTTTGCCCATGTCTTTCTGATAGCATTTCTTTGGGTGAGATTAGCTGAAGAGCTGAAGACCAGAGTGAGGAGGAAGATGTCTGAGCTTCTGCAGGCTTCAGGGTTGGAAATAGTGTAGGACTTGGACACGTTCTCCTTTGAGGTGCTCAGGTCTAGTTTCCTTGCTTTTTCTCGCACCCCGATGACCGTACCATCAGTGTATACCACAGGCGTGGGCTGCAGGAGGTACTCCTCAACAAAATCTGCCCCAAACAACAAGGCATGGAAGAGCATCACGTTGAAGAGGAGGAAGCACCACTGATGAGTGCGCAACTTGCACAAGAAGCACTGGAAGATCATTTTAAGAAAAGACGAAGAGAGTACGAGTTCCAAAAAATGGTAGCGGATTAAATATTATTTAAAATCCTCGAGTCAAGCTTAAAATCTGCTCTGTACCTGCATAGCAGCTGCTGTTTTGTTGTTCATCTGTTTTATGACCCCCAGGTGATGTGTAGACCGGCAGGCTCTTCAACGGTTACACACAGGGTTTCCATTTCCATGAAACACTAAGAGCACGTAACTCTGCACCTGACACCGAAGACAGGTCCTCTTCCAGGGGACGCTATCCTGCAGAATGCATGCAACTTTAATAAAGAGCAGCTGAATCAAGCCAAAGGAAGTTAGTAGTGCCCTTCAGTCCTAAACAAAGTTCCTAACGTCGATAACTTTCTGTTTTACCATAATTGAGACATTTCCACAAAGTCTAATGTCAGTGTATACAACCCACAGATATCAAAATGCAAATGTGTTCATTTTTATCATGGTGCCATTATATGATATTTACTTTTTCCCACAACCTCAGATACAAAATTTTAAAACTGGATGAAGAATGTATTGTTGATGGCACCATCTATTCTTGATTTTAATTAAAATAGTGTCAGTTGTTCCAGTAAAAAAATTAAAATAAACTATCTTGAGGAACATAGTAGAGGCTGAGGTGTGATGGAGCAAGGATCACTTATAGTAGAACATCCGTGCATGTAAAAGTAAAATGTGTCAAGGTGGCATGATCTCTTTTGTCTCACAACACGATCTCATCTGGGAAATCTTTTTATTTTAATGTTTACTCTGGGTCTTTGAGATCTTCACACAGTCTGAAATATGCACGTTAGTGTTTTAAATTGACCCAAGGAGTGACTCTGATTTAGTTTGTGTGTCTCTGTTTTGGTAGAGTCACATGTGATGGACTGGTCATCGGTCAGGACATACCATGCCCATTACCCAAAGGCTGCTCAAATAACCCCAAAATACTGTAGCTCTTCTTGTAATTAAGATAAAGTTACAAAGGTATGAAAAGAATACTGGAAGTAAAGGAAGCAGAACTTTTAAATCCCATGTTTTCCAACCTGTCTGATAAGGTCACCTTGTTGTGTCTCATAGCTCCTTTCAAGTGGCTTCTTGTAACTTTGAACAAAAATACACCTGAGCAAAGTAAAACTCAGGCGTATTTGACTTTACTTTAGACTTTAAAGTAAAGTCTCAATTTAAACAATTTAAGTAGGCTCCTGTCCAGATTTTTTGCAATCTATGTGTGAACTCAGTTTATTTTACAAAAACCTGGTACTTACATCAAATAATATAAAGTTACCTAACAATGTTAAGTCAGGTCCTCTGGACGGATTCTTCTTTGTTGAAACGCTTCGTCTTGTTTCCAGAAGACTTCTTCTTCAGTCACTATAAAGGTACATTCAAACAGTTCAGTAACGGAATGTATGGAAGGTGAAATGAGCTAAATGTGGTTTGACTTTTCACTAAATCTATAAATTGTATTAGCCTATTTATGGTTGTCAGCAGCAAACTGGTTGATCCACTATGAGAAGGTGCAATTTATAAAACTGAGCTGAATACAGCACCTCAGACTGAAGAAGTATTTCAGATGAAAGACGAAACGTTTCTACATTTTTTATTTTTTGCTTTTATTTTTATTAATTTTGAATGTCCAGAGGACCAGACTTAACTTTTTAAGATTTTTCTACCTGGATTACTGAGCATGCATCAGGATATAAATTGTATTGTTTTCTTTCTAACGGTAAAGTCGTGGCTTTTTACAAATGGTATTTAGTAAATGAGATAGTAATAATGGCTCTTCCAATTGTAAAGGCTGTAGACCACTGTTCCAGCAGACAGTTAGATTAAGTGAAGTTAAGGTAGGTAATTTAGCATATTATTCATTTACATACATTCATACATGCATACACATATATATTTTTATTATTAATTTAATAATTTAATATAATATCCATATAATATTAATTATTTATTATACAATAACGTGAAGCGGTGTCAAGCTGCTCCTCCCATTCTGACCGGTAGATGGCGCTAATGCTTCATCTGCTCTGATGCTGATGTAAAAACTAGAAGAAGAAGAAGAATTAGGACCCAAAACATTCACAGACATGGCAGCTACCATTCAGTGTATACTGGAGGAAATCTCGGGTGTAGAAGACCCAGTTGAAGAGCTTCAGAGCTTAAAAACCGCTCTGCTGGCCATCCCTGCGAGCGCTTTGAGGGAGTCAGTGAGCGGTCAACGATTGGACGTGATTTTCTCTCTGCTGGACTCAAACAACAGGTTCGGTTCGACTCTCGTTCCAACTTGTTTACCTGACTCAGCTGGAAACCGCTGCATCATAAGTATTGGTTTTTGAGTCAGATGGTGTGCTTTGGTTTTGTTGCCAACATGTAGATATACGAGCAGCAGATTGGAACAGTCAATATTATCGAGCTAAAAGAGTTCAAATGACCACATGCTAGTTGTTAGCGTGCTAGCTTAGTGGCTACATGTGGTAAGTTCAGTGAGCAGCTCTCTTCTCTCCCTGGTTTTAAATTTGAACATTTTAATTTTTACGCTATGAGTGTTTATTTTTGTAACTGAGGTGTAATTATTATCATCGTTTTCTCCCGTACTTCGCACTGTGTCCTGTATGGGAATGCTTATTACGCGAGATCATTTAATATAATAATTATGGCTTTAAAATGTTTTTTGTAAAATGAAGTAATGGCCAAGCGTCTACATACAGTATGATGAAGCTATTATATGATATTTTTGTTGATCAAAATGTAAAGATGTCGTTTCAGCCTGAGTTTTATCATCATCATCACCTTTATTAAATACTCAATTAGGTCCATACAAAAAAAAATGCAAGTAGATAATATAAAAAAATAAATCAATAAAAATAAAAGGTCACACATGTAAGTCACAGATTTGCAAAAAGGCTGAAACGCCAGTGGTTCCACATTCTGGATTTAAACCTGACGTAATGTGTGATAGGTGAAAAGAGAACATCTGGAACTTCAACAGCAGCTGCAAATAAATGTTTAATATCAAGGTTTCTTTATTATCATTCGCATCACATGTGGTACATGTGGTGGAACGAAATTGTGCACACAGGGTCCCAGTTACATCCAAAAAAAGTATAAATTGTAAAAGAAAGACCAAGCACTAATAGTACAAAAACAATAAGCCGAACAGCAGCAGCACGAACATGAGTCTGTGTGAGCAAAAGAGTATGAATGAAAACAGCAGCATGAACAACATGAGCATGTATAGATCTCCTAATTTAATGTGAGCATTGCTTACAGGGCGCAGGTTGAGCTGTGCGTGGACATCCTTGAACGCATCCTGTTGGCTCTCAGCCCAGTCCATCTGGTCCAGAACTATAGAGCTGAGCTGCAGAGCGGATTGGCCCATCCTAATGACACCGTTAAGATTCTGGCCTTGACGCAGGTAGGATGTTTGTACACATGCACAGCAGAAAACCACTACCAAAACATTAGCTAAATTGAATCTTCCTGATTTTATTTATGTTTCAGATTGGGAGAATCGTGGAGCACCCAGAAGCCATCACAGAATGTCTCAACAATCATGATGTCTTACGAGCGATGATACTCTGCATTAAAGAGGAAAAGATGTCAGTGGCAAAACAGGTGATAGCTGAATTATGGAAAGGGCTAAACAACGCTTACACAGATCTACAGCGTGTTCAGCAACTTTGTTTTCTTTTGCAGGCAATTCATTCCCTTTCTAAGATAAGCCACTCCAAGCCTGGCTTAGACAAATTATTCAAGAGTGACCTGCTGGATGTTTTGAAGGATGTGATGACCACAAGTGACATTATCAGATACAGAATATACGAGGTACAATCAAACTGCCGCATATTCTTTCAAATACGAGAGAAAAAAACTTACGCTGGGGTATTTTCGAATTGTATTTATTATATTAAATGCAATGTTCATTTCAATTTGTTTGTTTTTTATGGAAGCAGCAAGATTAATTAATTTTTTGTTTGATTAATTTGTTTTTTTGTGGCAAATTTTATAAAAAAAAAATAATAATAATAATCCAAGTTGCCTTACTAAAAATTAAGAAGTTCTACTTGTTTTTGTTTTGTTGTCTTGCAGCTGGTGGTGGAAATCTCATCTGTTTCTCCCATTTCTCTTGGTTACTGTGCCAACAGTGGCCTCTTCTCTCAGCTGCTCAGTGAACTGACAGGAGATGATGTGTTACTTAGGTGGTGACTGTGTTACACCAAGAAAATGTTTATCTTTTGTCTGGCATCTTGTTTTTACTTATACTGCTGTTTTTATTTTAAATCAGGGCCACGGCTGTAGAGATGGTGACCACTCTGGCTCACACTCAGCACGGTCGTCAGTATTTAGCTCAGCAGGGGATCATGGATAAGATCTCCAACATGATCAGAGGAGCAGAGACGGATACTTTGTCCTCACTCTACCTACCTGGTAAATATTTTTACAAAGACTCCAAACTTAATCCTGAACAAGAAACTGTTTTCTTCGTTTAATGTTAACAAATTATGTATGTTTGAGTGTTTTATTCTGGATAAATTAAGTGTAACTGATGCATTAAGTGAATTTTAAGATGATGGAAACAATTAATTCTGTTGTAACAGAAATGGATGCCAAAACTGAAAATATGGTTTGATTTAAAAGGAAAGGAAGTAAAAATGTCCAAAATTAGTGCCTCACAGAGTAGATATTGCTGGTTTAGGTTTGGTGAAGTTCTTTGGGACCCTGGCCATCATGGACAGCCCACAGCAGGTCTGTGAAGCATACCCAACCTTCCTGAACAAGGTGTTTGAGATGACCCTCGATCCAGACCCTACGATGATCGGAGTGGCCCTGGACACGTTGGGATTGCTTGGATCGACAGTCGAAGGGAAGCAGGTCCTGCAGAAAACAGGCAAGTTTTGTATATTTTAAGACTTGGACCCACCAAGTCACCTCCAAAAGAGCAATAACTATAATCCTGGTAAAAATAATGAAGAAAAATCTATTGTGTTTTAAACTGGTCTTTCTTTTGGATATAAAGTGCAACAGTGCTCTGTGGTGCCACATAACAAAATACGTTGTAGTTTTCTTTGAATTACTTAATGAGCTTTCCAGTGTGTTTTCGGTACCACTTTACAATAAGGCTCCCCTTATAGATGCTAATAAATAGTTTATAGATACGTTATTAATTCCTCTATTAATAATTGTTTATTATGCATTAATTAAGGGTGACAGAGACAAAACTGACCAGTTTGTTGCCAAATAGTGATTCAAGTCTGCCACCTATATATTTCATCTAGAGTTGTTGTATTAAACATTTCAGACTAAGTTACTACCGTGTGAGCACACTAAGCTTTTGTAAACCTAATTTTATTAGGATGTAATATTAGTTCTGGTAGGGATGCACGATATTGGATTTTTGGCCGATATGTTAAAACATTTGGCCGATAACCAATACCAATTTTTTATATACGTTCCTTTGTCAGAACATATTCCTCTTATTTAGGCTTATTTGCTACAAAATTGTGCAACAGCTGTAAGAGCTGGTGACATATATTCAGTAACAGCCATATGTATATCACTTTGACTTATATTAAATGAAAAGTGTTAAATGTTATTTATTAGCATTAGTCACCTGCGATGCTGTCTCACTTGTGGAGGTTCGTTCCAGGTTCAGCTGCAGTGATGGATCCTCTGCACTCCTGTGCATGAAGGACAGACTTTTTAAATTCAAAGTTTTTGTCTATCCATTGTTCCGTAAGACTAATCGTGCTAACGGGGCTAACACGACGTCCAAACGTCTGTGGTAAAACTCACACAAGTGCTATCGGCTGTTAGCTTCTCAATGATGTTGAAAATGACGACTTGTAACTCGGGTGAGGCTGCGTCAGAAAAATATCTCAGACTGGGGACGATGCAGCGAGGCTCGACGTAGTCCACAAATCTTCAGAATCTGACATCGTCAACAAAAAAAAAAAAAACCTTCCACACCGCCGACATTTTGACTTCTTCCTCTCCGCCGTGGTCAGATCCGTTAGGTGCACGTGACGTCATCACGTGCTCGCGCTCCTTGTCACAGGGTTGTCACACAAAACCAGCGCCTTTTATATCAGTGAGTTATTTTGATGGAACGACCGATGTTTAAATTTAATGCTAATATCGGCCGATAATATTGTGCATCTCTAAGTTGTAGATACTAATAATTAAACAGTGATAAAGTACAGAAATAGGTTTACAAACGCTTATTGTGCTCACAAGGTAGTAACTTAGTCTGACATGTTTAATATAACAACTGTAGATGAAATATATAGGTGGCAGATTTGGATCATTATTTGGCAAGAAGCTAGTCAGTTTTGTCTCTGTCACCCTTAATTAATGCATAATAAGCAGTTATTAATGATTTATAAAGTGTTTATAGAGGGATTAATAACGTATCTATAAACTATTTATTAGCCATATATAAGGGGAGCCTTATTGTAAAGAGGTAGCATGTTTTCTGTAACCAGGGGCCGAGTTCAAGGCTGTGTTCTCGAGAATGAGTCAGCTCGCTGCTTCTGGAGCTACAGAGCTTCGAGTTCGCAGCTTGGACGCCATATCACAACTTCTGACCTTACAGGTATTTATGTATAAAATAAGTTGTTATTGTGCCTGAAAAGTTCGAGTGGTTGATGAGTTCTTCTTTTTTCAGCCAGAGCATCAAACAGAAGACCTTCTGTCCCTGACTGAGTCCTGGTTCCATCTTTTGTCCAACAAGCCCATGGAGATGATTTGCAGCATAAGCACACAGCCTTTTCCTGAGCTTCATTGCGGAGCTTTACGGATCTTTTCTGTAAATGCTGTTTTCAAACTACCACAATTTTATTTGTATTCCTGATCCACTTAATGATCGTTATTTGTGTGTTCCAGGCCGTTGCCGGTCAGCTGTGGGGTCAGAAGATGATGATGAGCACCCCTGGGTTCATGGAGTTCATTTTGGATCGGTCAAGTGGTCAAACAAAGGAGGCCAAGGATGCCAAGTTTGAACTGGTGGGGTCTCTTGTGGGTTCGTCTACAGCTGCAGAAATACTGGGCAGTCCAAATTACATGCGGCTGAAGACCTACCTCAGAGAAGGCCCTTATTACGTATCAGCTGTGGCCTCAGTCAGCACAGAAGGAGCCAACTGATTAAACTACAACAAGAACATCATGGAAGCTAAGTACTGCACAAGTATGTAGAATTCTGGGTTATGTAGTAAGTTTTCTGCTGCAGTAAGCTCAAAAACTGCTAAAAAGTGTAAAAAATATATGTGGGATGTTAAAAAACCAAGTTGTTTTAAGAAAATCTTTATTTGCAGGTTTTCTGGGTGGACTCGGGTGCATTGGGAGCTTCACTACAATGAAAAACTAAAACTATATTTGTTTGGATTCTTCATCTTTTTTTTTGGTTCTCTAACAAAAACAAAATTATTTCCAAATGGACTGCTGTTGAAGTTCCACACGAGTGTTGTGCCACAAATGTACAGATATTTCTACAGTTCAACAGAGTCCATGTTGATGCGTTAACATAGTTCTGTTTACTTTAGCAATAAATAAGTCTTTATAAAATGTTTTTTTTTACCTGTTTTTTATGTTGACGCCCACACAAGTTCTTGTTTTTGATTTTTCTTCTGGTTTAAACTTGAATAAAACTGCATTCTTTATCTTTTTGTGTCATTAATGTTTATTAAATGTCTTTACCTTCTGTCAGATATAATGTCTAATGAAAACTTTCACAGAGCAGCTTTAAAATGTCTGAACTGCCCCTTTAAGGCTCCACCTAGAGAACACGTGACTTCTTGTTTATAAATCTTGTCACAAATAAAATTACCGTAAAGAATCAAATAAACGCACACAGGGAATCTGCAAACATCTGGCTACAGCTGTACTCGTGAAGGTTTAGTGACGCAAACGGTCTCCTAGCAACAGGGAACATCAGCCTGCGTCAGCACCAGTCAGTGCGCGTGCCTCCCTGTTGCCGCGAGGCGGAGAGGATCTGCCGGGAGGACCCGCGGAGCTGAGGCCGAGCAGCAGCGTCTCCAGGTCGGTGTGAGGCCGCAGGACGAGCCGCTGAGACTCCTGGAGGAGGCAGGTAGGAGCTCAATCCCAGATTATTAATCCATGCATTATTGATAAACAACTAAAAACACGTAAAAGTTTAAAAAGCTTCAACGTGTTTAGACTCGAGGTCAGTTTTCATTTTCCTGTTAGTTTGTTGTTTGTTGGGATTACTGAGCGTTAATCCGGTCAAAAACTGGGTTTTACTGGAGCACACCTCCACCTTTCTGCTCCTCCTCTTCCTCCAGCAGCAGCAGGGAGGAGTTCAGACACAAAGTTGATTTCTGAATCAGAACCTTGAACTGTTTAAAGTTTAATAAATAAAAGCACATCAGCAAATTAAACAATTTACTGCAGTAACTTTTAATAACGAATTATATTTAAAATAAATTTATTTATTAACACAATTTATTTTATTGTTTTAAACATTTTCATTGTTTTCTTTCAGCGTGGATAATTTTATTTACTGTAATGTACTTTAAATTTATTTAATTTTAGTTCATTTCTGTGGTTTTCTTCCTGGTTGGATGCTGTTTCCATGGCAACGGCTGCTGATTCTGTGAAAAGCAAGTCAGTTTTTCTGTCTTAAAGGGGCGTTCCAGTCATTTAGAGCGGGTAAAAGTTATAAAGAATATCTTACCTGTCAGCAGAATAGAATGTCTGAAGAATAATTCTGCTGCTGATCTGAGATCTGTTTGTGTCCCCCAGCAGCTCCTGTCCACATAGTGTCCCCCAGCAGCTCCTGTCCACATAGTGTCCCCCAGCACCTCCTGTCCTCAGAGTGTCCCCCAGCAGCTCCTGTCCACATAGTGTCCCCCAGCAGCTCCTGTCCTCAGTGAGGGACTGAAGTGTCCAACAACGTCGAAGGTTGCCTACTTCAAGAGGAAATATGCTGAGGACGAGGATCTGCAGCGAGACCTGCAGGGATATTTACAAAAAGTAAAACAATAATAATTTCCTTGTAGAATCTATAATTGTTTGTTTTTCTGTTTGTTTGTTTTTAATTTTATTACTAATAAATCAAAACAATAATAACTCCAAGCTGAAATTAGTCACATGTTGAACCAGGTGCAGATCAGGAGACCTTGGGGACCTCAACTTGATGCAGGAGGTCTGGGCCTGGCAGAGTCCCCCCACCCTGAAGGGGTCTGACTGACTGCCGGCAATGTGAACCAAACTCTCGCTTCTAGGGACCGAACAGCCCTTAGTAACGGGCCCCCAATCCCACACTCACAGAGCACCCCCCACAGTGTACCTCGATGAACACGGTCAAATGACTTCTCCAAGTTCACAAAAAACATGTAGACCGGACGGGCAAACTCCCATGACCCCTCGAGGACCCTAGTGAGAGTTAAGAGCTGGTCTAGTGTTCCACGGTCAGGACGGAACCTGCATTGTTCTTCCTGGATCTGAGGTTCGACCAACGACCTGACTCACTTCTCCAGTACCCCTGAATAGACCTTACCAGGGAGGTAAGGAGAGTGATGCCCCTAGAATTGGAGGACGTCCTCTCGTCCATTTTGAAGAGGGGACCCACCACCCCAGTCTACCAATCCAATGGCACTGCCCTCGATGTCCACGCGATGCTGCAAAAGTGTGTCAGCCAAGACAGCCCCACAACATCCAGAGCCTTAAGGAAATCAGGGAAGATCTCATCCACCCCCGGAGCCCTGCAGCCGTGGAGCTTTTTAACTAGCTCAGTGACCTCAGCCACAGTTAAGAACAGAACAACCCCGAAGTCCTCCAACTCAGCTTCCTCCGTGGAAGATGTTCCAGTGGGATTGAGAAGGTCTGAGAAGTATTCCTTCCACCTCTTGACAACATCACTGAGCAGCCACCTTCACTGAACACAGTGTTAGTAAAGCGCTGCTTTCTCCTCCTCAGTCGGTATATTTAGTCGCTACCGCTCAACCTCACACACAAGCTCAGGCTCCTTCCCCACCACAGAGGTCACGTTCCATGTCCCATTAGCCAGCTTTGGTAAACCAGGGTCAGAGCGCCGAGGCCCCCGCCTTCGGCCACTGCACATGGAGTCATGCACCCGACTCATATGGCACCTCCTGCAGGTGGTGGGCCCACAGGAAGGCAAACCCATGTTGCTCGTTCAGGCTGAGCCTGGCCCCATGGGTAGAGACCTGGTCACCAGGCGCTCCCTGACAAGCCCCTCCCCCAGACCTGACTTCAGGGTGGGGCCCCAGTAACCCTCGTCTGGAAACGTCACACTGAGCTCCTTGTTTTTATTGTTCATGCAGTTCTGCTGAACACTGTTGACAGAAGCTTTCCACTCCTCTTTACTCTGCAGGTGAAGGTTGTTCTGTTGAGGTGGATCTCAGTAGCACACACGCAGACCTTTGAAGGTTTCTTTGTCTTTCTGCAGCACCTGATGCTGCAGGAGGACCGCAGCTGCATCCTGAAGCTGTCCCTGGAGAAGCTGAGGTTCCTGGAGGACCCTGAGGTCTACCTGAGGCGCTCAGTCCTCATCAACAACCTGCTGAGAAAGATCCACCATGAGGAGGAGAAGGACGAGGAGGAGATCATGGAGGAGCAGCAGAGGCAATTGTGCCCCAACAGGAAATGGCTGAAGGTTCTGGTGACGGACTGCCGCTCGGCTGCATTCGGTCTGTAGGAGCTGCAGCCATACGGGTCGGTGCCGGACCGCCTGTACCGCCTCACCTTCAAACATTAGGTCCTCTTCTACAGCCTGGATGACGACGGCTGATTCCTGACCTTTGACCTCCTGACCGCTGACCTGACAACATCTGCTCTCGCTCTGAGGATCAGAAGCTGCTGTTTCCAGTTTGTTCACCCCAAAAACTCCCAAGTGAGGAGGAGGACGATGAAGATCCTCAGTTTGAGCAGAACAGACTGATTGTTTCCTCCTTGAAGGAAACTTGTAGTTTGTGACGATTTGAAGCGTTGCCTCTTCTTATGTTGTTTCTTTTGTTGTTGTTTTTGTTGTTCTTCATGTGTAATTAGTTGTAGTTCCACATACATTTATGTGTCTCTGCCTCCCTCTGCTGGTCACAGAATTTATTATTTTTGTAAAGACCAGGTAAATATTCAAGTAAAATATTAATTATATCAATAACTAAATTATTAAATACATAATTAAATTAAATAATAATTATATCATAAATCAACATATTAATTATATAATAACCTAATGTATTAATTATATAAATTACTAAATATATAATTAAATAAAAATAATTATTATATCATAAATCAAGATATTAATTATATCAATAACTATAATCTTAAATATATAATTAAGTAAAAAATAAAATTTTATTTATTTTAGGTTCAGAGTGACACGACTGTGACATGGAGGGCGGCGGGCGACAAGCATTCCTCTGAGGCCTTTCCGTGATTCTGTCAGCACGGAAACAGTTTTAGTTTCAGCCGTTGACGAAGTTAAGATTTTAACTTTCAAACATAAATTCGTTTGACCTCACAGAGTTTCCTGTTGAAATATTCTCATAAATAAATTTCATCATATCTTCAGAGACAGATTTGTTGAAAATCTTCAGCTGATTCCTCAAAGCTGCAGGTAAAAATGATAAAACGTATAAAATTCAAAGGTTTGCTCCTAAAACAGAATAAAGAGACAACATTTAAGTTATTTAAGTTACATTTGATCAAATGTTTGTGAAGAACAAATGTAATTTCAAAGGTATATTTTATATTTTCCTGCTGTTTGTTAAACCTAATTTAATAAAGTGAGTTTTTTTAATGCAAACAGCTGATCTTTACTAAATAAAACAGCTTGAAGTTATGTTAATGTTTTGATGACTTTTTTAGGGGAAACTTTTCATTAAGGGTCATGATAGATTATCAGATCAAATGTTTTGTTTCTTTATATGAAAATAAAATCTGTAAAAACTTTATTAAAGTATTTGTTTTTCTACAGCTGAGCTGAAAATAAAAACAGGAACATTGAGCTGCTGAGGGTTGGTTGTACCGAGCAAAGGTCCAAAAGTAAGCTTTGAACCTTTGGTTCTGAGTTATCAGATGGTCCTGGTTCTGTTCAGGACAGATGTGCTGAGTGTCATGAACACATGTTTTATTCAGAGGTTTATGGATAATAAACACATAATAAACAGTGTGTGCTTGAAATGATAGCTTGCAGAACGGGCCAAACTTTCTTGGTTCTGGTTCTGTAGGAGCAGCATGTGTGTGTTGTCTAGTCATGACCCACAATCAGAAAGAAGAGTGTGCAGAAAACAGGCCAGGAGTCAAACTTTATTGATTTATTGGGACTCATTTAAAGGCTTTAGAAGCACCTCAAAGTGCCTAACAGCAAACGGCAAATTAAAATAAATGTAAAAAACGAACAAACTAATTTTGAAAACAGTGGTGGAACTGAGAAAACGATTTAATTAACAACAAAACGCCAGAAGTAAGTTTTAAAAATATAACAAAACATAAATACTAAAAGCATGGATTCTAAAAATGAGTAAAACCCAAAACAGTAAAAAAAAGAAAAAACAGAAATAAGTTAAAATAAAATACTATTCCTTTAAAATAAACACAGAATTAATTAAATGAACCTGCAGTGTTCAGAACCAACCAGCAGGGGGAGAAAGTGACGTCACCTGCAGGTAGATATACCGTAGAAGAAGAACACTCTTCCCCGTTAAGCGCGTTCCCGTGACAGTTACTTCCATATTTTGGTGAGCCAGGAGGAGCAACTCACACCACATATATAAAAACTGGACTTATTTATTTAAGTATTACTTATAATTCTGTTTGTTTTCGGACCGGTTCGGTGGTCACGCGCCGCTCGGCTAAAGATGGATGCTTTTAGCAAGAACAGTTAGCAAGAAGCTAACGGCCGCCGCTCCGGGAGAGAAGCCGATTCTGAGTCTTTTCCGGCGGGTTCAGGAGTGAGCGAAGCCCCGGCTCAACATGGAGAACATTAGGGAGCGGTTCGGTTATCTCCGAGACCCGAACCTTGTCGCCCGCTTCCAGCACATGTGCGGGGTTCGGGGGACCGGTTTGAAGGCAGCGGACCGGGCTCACCTGCACAACAACGGGGCGTTTTATCATCCGGTATCCGCGGAAACTGGGAGCGAAAGTTCGGCCAGTATCGGAGCTGGAGAGGGAGAAAATGTCCAAACAGCAGCGCTGGGACATCGGAGGAGGACTCCGGATCTGAAACATGACCCAAAAAGAGCCTGTGAAAATGGGTCAGCGGGAGGAGAGGCTACCGGGCTTCAGGTCGGGGCTCTCCGTTCAGGGCTCACCGGGTCAGAGTACCGAAGGGCAGCCCAGAACGGGAGCAAGGACCCGGGGTCCCCCCGGGGCAGCACGGTGAAACCCCTCCGGAAAAACTCCCTAACGGAGGACACGGGACAGGAGTTCGTAATCCAGAACAGGTTCTTGTTCTACTTGTTCACATTTGGAACCGAACTGGGCAACGAGTTCTTCTACATCACCTTCTTCCCCTTCATCATGTGGAACCTGGACGCGTTTATAAGCAGGCGGCTCATCATGGTCTGGGTCTGGGTCATGTACCTGGGTCAGTGCACCAAGGATGTGGTCCGGTGGTCCCGACCCGCCTCCCCACCTGTGGTCAAAGTGGAGATGTTCTACAACTCGGAGTACAGCATGCCGTCCACGCACGCCATGTCTGGAACCGCCATCCCCTTCTCCCTGTTCTTCATGACCTACAACCGCTGGGAGGTAAAGTCCGCCACAACACCGGTTACATGTTCTGACACAACACCGGTCACGTGTTCTGACACTTGTCACATGCCTGGTACAATGTGGTCACATAGTCTGATACATCAGCAGTCGCATAATCTGATACATCAGCAGTCGCATAATCTGATACATCAGCAGAAGCATAATCTGATACATCAGCAGTCGCAAAATCTGATACATCAGCAGTCGCAAAATCCGATACAATACCAGTCACATAGTCTGATTCAACAGCAGTCGCATAATCTGATACAACAGCAGTCGCATAATGTGATACATCAGAGTCGCATAATCTGATACATCAGCAGTCGCAAAATCTGATACATCAGCAGTCGCAAAATCTGATACAATACCAGTCACATAGTCTGATTCAACAGCAGTCGCATAATCTGATACAACAGCAGTCGCATAATCTGATACATCAGCAGTCGCATAATCTGATACAACAGCAGTCGCATAATGTGATACATCAGAGTCGCATAATCTGATACATCAGTCGCATAATCTGATACAATACCAGTCACATAGTCTGATACATCAGCAGTCGCATAATCTGATACAACATGAGTCACATAGTCTGATACAACAGCAATCACATAGTCTGATACATCAGCAGTCGCATAATCTGATAACAGCAGTCACATAGTCTGATACAACACCGGTTGCATAATCTGATACAACAGCAGTCATATAATCTCATACATCAGTCACATAATCTGATACAACACGAGTCAACACCTGTCCCATTTTCTGACTCACCAGATGCATAATCTGACACAACAAACACCAGTCACATAATCTTACACAATTTCTTTTTAATTTACCTTTTTTTATACAGGTAATCTCATTAAGTCACCAGAACTCATTTTCAACAGAGTGGGAGCAGATGATGGAGGTCAAGGGCCCAGAGTGGAGCAAATGAGGGTGGAGGCAGGTGTGGGCGTTTCACCTTTCCTGCTCACATTTTGATGTTGTCAGTCCGGGGAGTTGAACCTGTGACTTTTCGATCACAGGCCCATCTTCTCTAACCTCTGCGCCACCACTCTCAAATACTCCAACACAATACCAGTCACATGATCGGACACAACACCGGTCCCCTTGTGGCAGGACAACCTTTGTTTTTCTGCAGAAACAGAAGTGCACAGATGCTACTTCCTCTCATTTTGCAAAAGGTTTGACATCACTTCCTGTTTGAGACATCAATGGTCTGGACAGTTTTGTCCATAAAATGTCTCAAGTCTAGACATTATTTGGGCTCTAGACCTGCTCTGGTTCAAAGTCTTTACCACTTGTTCTGGTCCAGCCGGGTCTAAGTCGTGCTGCAGTGAACACAGATCAGTTTGTTTAATATTTAATTAATTTACAAGTCTGTAAAACATTTATGAAGATTAAAAAGAAGCCAACTTTATTTCTGTTTTTAGTTTTTTCTTTCTCTGATGCACTGTTATGATGGGTGGGCGATCATGTCTCTGTTAGTAAAATATCTGATGAACCAGTGGAGGATTTTAGTCCAGCTCAAAACACTTGTGTGTGCAGGAGAACAAGTGGTAAGGGACTAGTGTTCCTGCGGTTCTGGAGGGTTCTGAAAGGGTTCTGGACTCGTTCAGAGGAGTAGGAGGCGAGGAACAAGCCCCGCCTCCTGCCGGCTCACCGTGAGCCGACATGTCAGAGCAAAGCAGGAATGTTTGGATTAAACCCACTGCAGACAGACGGTCCTCCTCCCAGTTCTGCTCCCAGAACCAGACCTGTCTCTGTGGACCTTCCTGGTGCCAGAAAACAAGTCAGAACCCAGAATCCTTCAGAACCATGGAGCAGAGGCTGATCCAGCAAGGAGACCGTTGGATGGGAGGGATAAAAGTTGGTGTTACAAAAGTTCCTGAAGGGTTTGAATTCTCATGTCATTTTGGATCAGAACCAGAACCCGTCTGCGTATAAACCTTCTCAAAACAGGAACTTCAGGCAGGAACTCGGCAGCTCTTCATCTTTAACACATTTTCTAACTTCTGCTTTGGTTTGGGTTTCCTGAAAACAAACAGAACCAGTTCAGACGATTCTGGGTCAGAGGATCAATAAACAGTTGGATTGTTCTGGTCCGGAAGTCCTCTTTCCTTTAGCCCAGAACTTTCTCAGAACATGATTTCATTCACCTCAGGTTTTTAACTCAAACAGCATTCCTGGCTCTGGTTCTGAGGAGATCCAACAGAACACACTGAACTTTTGACCCAAAACATCCCAACTCCCCCAGGTTCAAGTTCTGTTCCAGACTCTGGTGTTTAAGGTGGCGGGCGATATGCATTCATTGTGCTTTGCTGAGTTTAGAAGCTCTGACCCGGTTCTGAAAGTTAACCTGGACTTCCTCTCTCCCTCACAGTATCCGTCCTCCTTGGGCTTCATCCTGGCTCTCTGCTGGTGTCTGCTGGTCTGCACGAGTCGGATCTACATGGGGATGCACTCGGTCCTGGTGGGTCCACACACACACACAGGCAGGGTCTAATAACAGCTAATGGACCTCAATCCAATTCAAGATGGCTTCCACAGCTAATGTAGGTCAGCCATCATCAAATGTTTCAGACAGCTGGACAGACGAGCTCAGACTGAGTGGTAGTAGCTGAGAGTCATCCCTGATATACTCTGAGGGCAACACGGCTCGGTTCTGAGGAACAGCTGTGTTCTGGTTCTGTTTCATGCTGGTTTACCTGAACAGGTTCAGAAGCTGAGACTGAAACAGTACTGACCCGGTTGGGTTCGGCTGCTCTTCATGTTTGTTTGAGGTAAAACCAGACGGTTCTGGTTCTTTAGACGGGCTTTTGGATGGTTCTGGATCTCCGCAGCTCCAACTTCCTGCTTTATGATGAGTTCGGCTGCAGGTTCTGTGCTGACCCGGTTCAGTTTCAAAGTTCAGGTTCAAAGCAGCAAAAGTTGTTGAGTTTTGAAACCAGAGTCCAGAGTTTACGGCTGAGTTCTGAAGAACTGCTTCCTGTCTGCACTCATCCACTTCCTGTGTTCTTTCACAATAAAATGTATCTGAACCAGGTCCAGATGGGGTTTATTCCGACTTGAACTGAGGTCCGTCCGGAACAAACACCATCTGGATCGTGAATTAGTTTGTTGAAAAAGTTTTAGTTAGATCCAGATTCTGGTTGATCCGATGCTTTTCCAGCCCGGGTGGTTTTAAATTGCTTGTTTACTTGTTTGTTTGTTTCCTGCAGGATGTGATCGTTGGCTTCCTGTACAGCGTCCTGATCCTGGTCTTCTTCCTGCCGGTCTTGGACTTTATCGATGGCTTCAACCTTACCTGCCGTTACGCCCCGCTCGTGATCGTGTCCCTCCACCTGGGCCTGGGCCTCCTGTCCTTCACCCTGGACACCTGGAGCACGTCTCGCGGCGACACCGCGCAGATCCTGGGCACCGGTGCCGGCGTGGCCTTGGCCTCCCACGTCAACTACCGTTTTGGCTTAATGCCGGACCCCGCACCAGAACGGCTGCCCCTCGTCCTGCCCGCCTTCAGCCTGGGCCTGGTGGGCATGGCCGTGCTGCGGCTCGTCCTGGGAGTGCTGGTTCTGGTGGGCACGCGGGCCCTCATGAAGGCCGTCACCATCCCACTGGTGTGCCGGCTGTTCGGCATTCCGTCTGGAGACGTGAGGAGGGCCCGGCAGCACATGGAGGTGGAGCTGCCCTACCGCTACATCGTGTACGGAACCGTGGGCTTCAACGTCCTCTTCCTGGTCCCGCTGCTCTTCAGCTTCCTGCATCTCATATGATCAGGTCCCCTGAGGGTCCAGAGGGTCCCCTGAGGGTCCAGAGGATCCCCTCAGGGTCCAGAGGATCCCCTCAGTGTCCAGAGGATACCTTCAGGGTCCAGAGGATCCCCTCAGGGTCCAGAGGGTACCTTC